AGAAAGAAAGAAAGAAAGAAAGAAAGAAAGAAAGAAAGAAAGAAAGAAAGAAAGAAAAAGAAAAAGAGTAAGCATACATGTGGAGAGGCCAAGAGTGACTTGGAAACACATTACAGTCCTGGTCCAAGTCTGGAAAATTTGAGTTACCTAAGGTGTGTAAATAATGTTAAACTACATTTGTTGTCTTTTTCAATAGATAGGATGAGATTCAGAAGACTAAATCTATTTAAGCATCACCCTTTTCACATGGTAACTTCAAATTCTGTGTCAAGGAGATGTCAGGTAGTGGACACACAGCTTTATAGAACCTTGTATGGAGTGGGTGAATGTCATGCAGAGGCTCATGTGCTGAAAGTCTGTACCATAGCAGGGAGCTATTGGAAGTGTGGGGCCCGGTGAGAGGTGCGGCTAGCTGGAAATCTCCGAGCCATTTGAGGACGTGTCCTTCACTCGTTACTGAGGCCCTGGCACATTTGTTTCCTCTCCTTGCTCCCTTTCCAGATACAACATGGTGAGCAGCTCCCTCCGCCATGTGCAGCCGCCCTGCTGGGACACATTGCAAAGCCTAAAGAAGGGGCCAAATGACAATGCCTGAGCCTCTAAAGCTGTGATCTGAAACAAAGTTTGCTGCTTCTAAAGACTCTAAAGAGTATAATGGTAGAAGTCTCAGGAGAGGAAGAGTGAGGATGGGAAGGGTAGTGCTTCAGCTTTGATATTTAGCCAGGAGACTAGAAGAAAGAAAGTAAAGAGTAATAATTTCTTCTGTGATATCCCTCTCCTCTTAATATCTTGGTCAGATACTCAGGTCAATGAGCTAGTCATTTTCACTATTTTTGGTTTTATAGAACTGAGCACCATCTCCGGAGTCCTGGTCTCCTATTGCTATATCATCTTGTCAGTCATAAAGATTCGCTCTACTGAGGGGAGGCTCAAAGCTTTCTCCACTTGTGCTTCCCACCTCACCACAGTTTCCATTTTCCAGGGAACCATGCTCTTCATGTACTTCGGCCCAGTTCTTCCCACTCCCTGGATCAGGACAAAATGACCTCACTGTTTTACACTCTGGTGATTCCCACCCTGAACCCTCTGATTTACAGTCTAGGGAACAAGGATGTGAAAGAGGCCCTGCAGAAGCTGAGAAACAAAAACTGGTTTTAAATTATTGTATTATATCTATGTTTAACACCTATAATGGTGGTTGTTTTGAAAAATGATCTGGCCTGATACAGAGCAAAATGTACTGCATATGTAGTTAAATTTACTGAGACAGGCCTTTGTACTGACACCTAATTATAAGAAAATGTTGCAGATTTCCAAACGTGCCATGCTTCATTCTTTGCTTTGAATGAATTTGTGGAATGTTTTCTTGATTCTCTCAATTTTGCCAGTTTTCATTATTTTTCAATCTTTTCATTTTTTACTCATTGTATTTTTGTGCTATGTGTTAGATGCCATTCCAGTGGTATATTTGTGGCACATTTTATATTTTGTGGGAAGGAGCAGACTTTTCTTAAACTGAACACTCAAGTAATCCACAGTAAGGTTCTACATAATACTGAAATAAAGAGAATGTCCGGCATGATTGAGAGAAAAATGTACAAATCCAGCGTTCTAGAGAGAGACTTCCATGGATGGAAATATTCAGTCAGTCTCAGAACTAAAAATGAGTGTTTTGAGGATCAGCATGGATTTTAGCCAGATGGTTTGACAATTAGAGAAAGAGTGAGCGGCACTGCTTCATGATGTCTGGCAACCAAAGAAATTTGATGAAGTCAGCATATAAAAAGGAGTTCATTTTTAATTGTTTAAAAATTATCTTTATTGGGGAGGGGATTTAGCTCAGTGGTTCTGTTGCCTGCCTCGCAAGCACAAGGTCCCGAGTTAGATCCTGGGTACTAAAAGAAAATATATCTTTACTGTACATGTCACAGTACATTATGATTAACTCACCATGAGAAGTTGGTACATGTATGTAACAAACCTTTATTATTTTTACTTTTTCATAGTTCTTTGAATTTTATTATTTTTAACTTTTATTAGTACATGTTTGTAGTACATAATGATTACATCTATTGTGGGAAATCAAAACATATGCATAACACACCTCAATTCTTTTCCCCTTCCCAGCCTCCCCTCTTTTTGCCAGCATCAGATGTCTTTATTTACCTTCTGCATCCTGGCAGAGTTCATTATCACACACATGGTAATTAAAAGGTCCTGATGAAGCACATCTCAGCGCTGAAATTATGGATCACCATTGTCTCTATCTCTTTCTCGTGTACTTTTTTTCTTTCCCACTCTTGTCCTGGTTAAATGCTTCTCTTCCTTGTTCCCTGCCATCACCCTCATTCACTATTTAATGTTACATTTTTCTTGTCATTATCTTATATAGGCATGTAAGTTCTGCCTCCCAAGTCTGAGCATTTAATCCCTGTTATACAAAAAATACACATCATATTTGAGGAAAAAAAGAAAAAATAAAACAAAAGATAACACAAAATTTTTAAGTGCTTATCATATGTTGATAAAACAAAACTTACTGGGGGTGCGATATGTGATGAACATGCACAAAACAACATCCCACCTTGCATATGCTATTGCATTTAAGAAAGCATATAAAATGGCTGGATACAAAAGGCAATGAATCTACAAAGGCATGGGTATAAATTTCAGGAGAATACACAGCATCCATCTGTGTATGGCCTTGATAGTTTACTTTTTCATCTTTCTCTAGACTCTTTTTCTGATGACTCATGTGTGAATAAGATCCTTGGGAAAACATGTATTATCCATAAATTCAAACTCCTGCAGAGTAGACAAGGATATTCTTAAATATACATTACAATCGCAGAAGCTAATACAAGGATTTGTATTACATTCTAAGTTGTCAGTGTAACATATCCTAGTGTAAAAAACATTTCAAAATATAAGTAAAGCCCTAGGCAGCCTAGTGTGGTGGTGCACACCTATAATCCCAGCACACTGTGAGGCTGAAACAGGAGGATTACAATACGGGCCAAGCCTGAACAACATAGGGACTTAGTGAGAAGCTGTCTCTAAATAAATGAATGAATAAATAAATGAATAAGTGTTAGGGATATAGCTTAGTGTGGAAGCAGATTCAATCCACAGTACAAAAACTAAAATGAGAGGAGGGAGGAGGGATAAAAGGGAAGCTCAAGACAATACCATGTTAGAAGGCAGTGATACAGAAAAAAAAATATGAAGGATTCTGTTTTAGGCAACAGAATGTATGAGTTTCCACCTGTCATATTTTAAAAAATTTCCAATTGCATGTGATGAGCACTGCTATAGTGGCCTCCTTTTATATTGAGATTTTAACTCCTCAAATAATTTAGGAAGGGATTCTCCTTGTTATTCATTAAGTTTATTGCTAAATTTTAGGTATACAATATGATGACATTCATCATTGGAAATTTGTACCATTACATGATATATCTTGGTTCTTATTTTTTTCCCATTCCCCTGCCCTCCCTTAAACCCCTCCACCCCTTTCTTTTTACAAGGACTTTGTTTTCATTTTTTCCTTTTCTCATATTTTTCCTTTCCCTTCTTTCTTTTCCTTTTCCCCTACCCCTTCCACTTCCCCTTCCCCTTTGGACATTTTTTTCCTTTTTCAAATTATCTATTATATATTTTGATCATTATTTACACTTTTAGATTCTCACTCCAGAGAAACAATACGGTATTTACATATGTGTGTCGTATTGATTTCACTTAAGAGTATCACCTCAATGTGCATCCATTTAGCTATAAAAGTCTCTAGTTTCTCATTCTTGATGGCTCAGTAGTATTACATTTTATTTTTTAAAAAATCCCACATCTTCTTTATCCAGTCTCCAGGTGAAGGGCAATTGGGCTGTTTCCAAGTTTCAGCTATTAAAAACTGTGTTGCTATGAACATGGGTACACATATATTGCTGTGGTATGATTGTTTTAATTCTTTTGGGAAGATACCAAGATGGGGAATAGCTGGGTCAAATGGGACCTCTAATCCTAGTTTTTTGAGGAATCTCCACACTGATTAAGAGGGGTAATGGGATAAAATAAAAGTATCAAAATAAACAAACAAACCCCTCTAACTTCCTATAATTTTCAAGTTTACAAAGAATTCATATTGAAAATAGTAAATGAATTTTTTAAATAAAGTATAGAACTCTGGCTTTTGAGAAAATTGTTAATTTTGAAAAAGTCTTATATGAATCATCCTTGCACATATCAACTATTTTATTGGGGGGAAAATTCCCAATTCTAGAACATCTCTACTTTCTGTTCACTATTGTCCATTATAAGGAGCCTAAAATAATTAACAATATGTAGTAAGCAATGACTTTTGTAAGTTGTTTTACTAGAGACTTTGGGGAATAATAAAAGAGAACACCAGGCCTTATTTCTAAAGATTTAAGTGTAATACAAAAACTCTTATATGAATATATTTAACATAATTCAAAATTAAAAGCACTCAAGAAAAAATTTGATACAGTAACAAAATCTGTGTTATGTGATGGATGTTATTATTGGCTACAATAACTGGCTTTAACCTTCTATTAACATTGGTGCTCATAGATTATTATTCATGAAAGCAAAAAAGTAGATACAACTAGATAAATATCAAATTATAAGCATATAAGTAATACATATTATGTCCCTAAAATTAGATATTATTTAGCCATGAAATGATATGAAATTCTGAATCTGACCACAAAAGGAAGAAATGTAGAAAATATCATGCTTAGAGAGTAGTCAACTCAAAATGACACATATGAAATATTACTGTTTATATTTTATTTTCAGAATAAATAAATATATAAGGTCAGAAAGTAGAATAAAGTTTGCCAGGAACTGAGAAGAGAAACTTAAGAGAAATGACCACCATTAAGAAAGCTTTTCTTACTGAGGTGATCAAAATGTTCTAGAAGTAGAGTGGTGTTTGTTTCCCAAGCTTGAGGTTATATTAAAACTAATAATTGTTTCCTTTAATCGTGATTTAATTTACAGTATATAAACTGTGTCTCTCATATTTCTTCGAATGTAATAGTACTACATTGGAGTGGTGAGGAAAACATTTTTAAAATGGAAGCAATTAAAAATTAGTAGAGTGTTGGAAATGATTCAAGGGTAAATGATCTCATAAAATTCTGCTTTAATTGGACAAGGATGATACCGACTCTAGTTCAAAGAATAAAACATGAATGCAATGCCATAGCCTTCACGATCAGATCAATTTGCAGTTTTCATTATTACATAGATTTTACAGTGACAACAATAAAGAATTAAAGCTCAGCTTTTGGTAAAGAAATTCATGTTTACACAAGGGAAATACAGAAATATAATTAATCACATGTTTGCATAAAATGAAAGCCCGAGGGAAGTAGCTTTAGAGAATTTAATTCCCAAATTATACCTTATACATATAATAACATGCTGTCTACCTGGTGTTCAGCTACCAAACAGCTGCTCATAGCAGGTAAGTTCCTGAATTTCCAAGTTTAAAAATGTTCATTTGAAAGCTACCTTTATAAAAAAAGATTTATACATGAATTATTTTATGCCAGTTTAGTCAAATAAATTTAAAATCGAATGATTCAAAACATGTTTTCTACTCAGAACTGGAGAACACTGAACTTAATATCTGCAAAGCAACATTCTATTTGCATTTTACTCTATGTTCATATGCAAGACTTTCCTCATTTTATAATTGTGTAGATAACCACATCAATTCAATGGATAAATTTTTCTTTGGGTAAATAAGTTTAAAGAAAATTGAAATATTGCATTAGAAACAACAATATAAGCAAATTCAATTCCATATGAATCACATACCATAATTATCTAAGTCAATAAATCAATAAATAATAGACACTCAAATATTCAACTCCTGTATTTCTCATACTTTGACATCAGTAAAGACATTCACATGTAAAAGCTCAGGAAAACATGGACATTTACATAATGATATGAAACCCCTGTATCCAGGAACTACTTATTGACCCTCATGTTGTAATCATCTTTGAAATACAAAGTCATTTAAAATCTGCCATATTATGATATACTACATTATGTGCTACATTATGGGTATACACTTCCATTTTAGACTTTGTCCCTGAAAGGTCAGGATTTGGCTGGACTACTACTTTGAAGAAGAAGAACGTTGTAGCAAGGGACAATGTACTTTCAGAAAAAACATTAGGTAATACTTATTTCATATATTATTAAACACTGAAGATCACATTGACCATGAACAGTAGAAGATAAGTTGCTTTTCCTTAGCCAGTGATATACTCATTATTTCTAGAACCAATACAAAGTTTTGTGAAGCAAATCAACAATTTTGAGGAGCATCTTATTTCTAATTGTTTTGAATCTCTGGAGATGATTATACCATAATTAGTTCTGCATCTTCCACCCAAGTCTCCATAAGACTAATGTTTTTTACATGTTATTTTGAAATCACAGAGAAATTTCTGTATGTTAGAAATATATTTCCTGAGGTAAAGGAAGGTGAGGTGGAAAGTTAAGATCGTACACAGAGTAACAGCCCCCAGGATGACATCTAGATTTCAATCAGAGTTTCTCAACTGCTTTCTCTATTTTTTTTTCTGTTATTGTCAATAGACTTGATGCCTTTAAAGAGTGACAAATGGCATAATAATTTTTTCCAGTTAAAAAAGGAAATTACAGGTACATAAAGTGATCTGCCTTGCAGATAATATGTGGATGTACAGAATAATTAAACACGTATCTATGCAAACTTGTTTTCAAGTTTACACAAGAATAAAGAAGAATGGACAGGGGAAACTGCTCCTCCTTGAGTGAATTTGTTTTCTTGGGAATCACCAATAACGCCGATGTCAAAACGATCCTTTTCACCATGTTTCTGCTTGTTTACCTCATCAATCTTCTGGCGAATCTTGGAATGATCATGTTGATTAGATTTGATTCCCAGCTCCACACCCCCATGTACTTTTTCCTCAGCCACCTGTCTGTCTGTGATCTTTGCTATTCCAGTGCAATTGGACCCAAGATGCTGGTGGACCTCTTAGCTAAGAGGAAATCAATTTCCACTGTTGGCTGTGCTCTGCAATTCTTCACCTCATGTATGTTTGTAGACGCTGAGTGCATGCTGCTGGCGGTGATGGGCTTTGACTGGTACAAGGCCATCAGCAGCCCCCTGCTGTACACAGCCCACATGTCCAGCAGGCTGTGTGCCCAGCTCCTGGCTGGGGTTTACCTGATGGGACTGGCAGATGCTTTAATAAACACAATATTTGCATTCTGCTTGTGTTTCTGTGGGTCCAATGAGATTAATCATTTCTTCTGTGATGTCCCTCCTCTCCTTCTACTATCTTGCTCGGATACACAGGTCAATGAGTTAGTGATATTTATCATCTTTGGGTTTATTGAATTGAGCACCATTTCAGGAGTGCTGGTCTCCTACTGCTATATCATTTTGTCAGTCTTAAAGATCCGCTCTGCTGAGGGAAGATTCAAAGCTTTCTCCACCTGCACCTCCCACCTCACTGCGGTTGCCATTTTCCAGGGAACCATGCTCTTCACGTACTTCCGGCCCAGTTCTTCCTACTCCCTAGATCAGGAGAAAATGACCTCACTGTTTTACACCCTGGTGATTCCCATGCTGAACCCTCTCATTTATAGTCTACGGAACAAGGATGTGAAAGAGGCCCTCAAAAAGGTAAAAAAGAAAATTTGGTTTTAACCATTTGCTCTGTCCCTACATACCATGTTATTAAGGCAGCTCTTGTTTCTATAAGATTTTATTGGATAACAGAGAAGAAATAAGTTGTGTCATGTTTTTTAATTGTCTAAAAAGTTTGTGTAGTAAAATGTACTAATAAAATGTTGCAGATATGCAAATGTGTTCGCATTTAACATTTGTCTTAAATTATTATGTGATATTCCTTCAGTATAGAAATGCTGCTACTTTTAAAATTGTGCCATGATTTTAATTGTTCATTTCTTGATTTTATTTCCCTGTAATTAGAGCAAGGTTAAGGAATACTTTACTAATTGTTTTTTAAACACATTTATGTACCTTTTATTTTGGAGAAATATAGTTTATTCATGTAGTGCAAATACAAACATTAGGTGAGAATTTATATAATTCACATAACATCATGACAATCATGAAATAAATAGACTGTCAATAAATTCCATAGCAAAATATCTTAATTCCCAATGCAGAGTAAAGGCTTCAATGCATGGAATATTAAGTTTCAGATAGAAACAATGTTTCTTTGAGAAACTAGGGGAGTGAAAGCCAAGGCTTTGCCATCTAGGGCAATCTTGTGGTGTGTAAATTAGTTCTATGACATTTGGAACCAAAGTTTGATCAGGTCAGAATATAAAGGATAATTTAAAAGCCCCTAGGAGTATACATCGGTGTGTTGGAATTTCAAACCTCAGCTCCCCAATTCTTTCCTCGTGGAAATTTTGCTTTTCCTATTTCTCATTCTCAGCCCTGTTTAATATTCTTTTGAGGTTCTCAACCACCTCCTTAATGCACTATTTAATGTTACCATGTATCAACATATCCACTGAGGGGCTATGTACTACTAGGTTAAAAATACAACAATTAAAAATAGCTATGTTAAACATTAATGAAATTCAGGGATGGACAATATAGAAAAGTGAAAGTTGGACCCTCTTTCTGGGGTTTTAAGGAACCATGGAATACCGTATCAGACTTTGATCTATCATAGACTTGCTGTTTAAATCTTCATAGTTTTCATCCCCTGGTAATCTCTATTAATCACATTGTTTTGTCATGCCAAATGTGACTGATGACAAATATTTTCTCAATATTATAGTGCCAGTGACTATGTGGAAGGAGTTAAGAGTATAGTTATTTTCTACATCTTTACTCTCTCTTTCAGCTGTGTAGAAAAAATTTCTAATTATTAGGATGACAAAGAGATGACATATTTGGTTATATAAATAACACAGTCTACTTCAATCTCCTTTTATTTTAAAAGATCCTTAACATAGGTAATGTCCATTGTCCTCCCCAGTTGTTACATTCTGTCCCTATGAATTATAATTTTACTCCCAAGTAAATGCAACTGTTATTGGAATGAGTTTGAAAGGAGGAGTCTTTTCATGCTTCTATATAATATCGCATTTCATCTCCCATCTTGTTTGACCTGAAATAAAAGCAGCAATGCTTTCAGATCGATAGTATGAGTTTCAGGTCAAATAATTTCAATTTTTATTATTCTTAAGTTCTTTTATTGGTACATTTTAGGTGTATAATATGCTTACATTTATTATTGGCTGTTTGTACCTGTACATGATGTATCTTGATTCTTATTTTTTCCCCATTACTTGTGTGCCCTTCACCCCCCCACCCTTCCTTATTTACATAGACATCATTTCCATTTTTTTCTTTTCTCATAATGTTTCCTTTCCCTTCTTTTCTTTCCCCTCCCCCTCACCTAACCCCTACCACTTTGAACCTTTTTGTTTATTTCAAATTATCAATTATTCATTTTAATCATCTTAACCCTTATTTATACTTTCAGTTTCTCACACTAGTGAAACTATTCGGTATTTACACATGTCTGTCCTATTTATTTCACTTAAGAGTATGGCCTCAATATGCATCCATTTAGCTATAAATGATTCTAGTTTCTCATTCTTTATGGCTGAGTAGTACTCCATTTTATAAAAAAACCCACATCTTCTTTATCCAGTTTCCAGTTGATGGGCACTTGGGCTGTTTCCAAGCTTCAGTTATTACAAATTGTGCTGCTATAAACATGGGTGCACATATATCACTGTGATATGATTCTTTTAATTCTTTTGGGAAGATACCTAGCAGGGGAATAGCTGGGTCAAATGGGACCTCTAGTCCTAGTTCTTTGAAGTATCTCCATACTGATTTCCACAGTAGTTACACCAGCCTGCACTCCTACCAACAGTGGAGAAGGGTTCCTTTCTCCCCAAACCTCCACCAGCATTTGTTAGTGGTTGATTTCTTGATAGCAGCCATTCTTTCTGAGGTGAGGTGGAATCTTAGTGTTGTTTTCATCTGCATCTCTCAAATGGCCAGTGATGTTGACCATTTTTTCATATATTTATTTGCTGTTTTTACTTCTTTGTCTGAGAAATGTCTGTGCATTTTAGATACCCATATTTGAATTGGGTCTTGAGACTATACTACAAAGCTACTGTGATAAAATCAGCGGTGGTACTGGCAAAGGAACAGACCTGAGGATCAGTGGAATAGATTAGAAGATGCAGAAACAATTCCAGACATACTCAGCCACCTCGTCTTTGACAAAGGAGCCAACCACCATCATTGGAGGAAAGATAGCCTATTTAACAAATTGTGTTGGAAAAACTGGATTTTAACCTGCCAAAGATTAAAATTAGACTCATACCTATCACCATGCACTAAACTAAGATCGAAATGGATTGAAGATCTAAATATCGAAACAGAAACACCAAACTTGCTGGAAGATAAGTTAGGTAGAATTCTTGCAAACATTGGCATAGGAAAAGACTTTATGAACAAAATCTCAGTAGCATGGGACCTAGCATAAAGAATCAACAGCTGGGATCTCATCTCATTAAAAAACTTCTGCACTGCAAAAGAAACCACCAACAGAGCTAACAGACAACCTACAATGTGGGAAAAAAATTTTAGCAGCTGTACCTCAGGCAAACGACAACTACCTAGACTATATAAAGCACTGAAAAAAATCACCCTCCCCAAATTCAAATAATTTTAAATATGGTCCTTTTTATTCAAATCTATAATTTCATGTACACAGTATAGTAGTGGATATGCAACTTTATTAGCATTTGCTCTAATTCACTAAATGTATGAAGAAAGCTAAAAGCTCATGTATGAAAGCCTCGTTACTCAGTTGTAGTGCTACTGGGAGGACAGATCCTTTAACTCATAGGGACTAGTTGGAAGTCTTCTGTCATATGAGCATATGCCCTAAAGGGAAATCTGTGGACCCTGACCATTTTAAATCCCTCCTTTTTACTTCCTGACTGTCATGAAGTGAGCAGGTTCCTTTGCTATGTACAACCACTATCATATGCTCTCTTGCAACAGATGCTAAATCTAAGTAAACCTTCAAAACCTATTTGGCAAAATAACCCTTTTCTTCTCTGAATTGAATTATTTACTGAAGTAAACCCTTTTGTGAAGATTGTATTTTTATGATTGTCAAAGTGAGTGGAAAATTTTGGCTACCAATAGACATTTTCATAGCAGTTCAGAAGAATGAAGAAGAATGGATGAGCAAAATCACTTTTTCTTGAATAAACTCCTTATCTTGTGAGTTCTCAGTAATTCTGGAGTCAATTTTACTCAGTTTAGCACATTTGTAATTGTTCATCTCCTTGGTCCTCTTGTGATTTTTGGAATGGCTATTTTAATTGGACTGGATTTCCTGTTTCACACTCCACTGTAGTTTTCCTAAGCCACTAGTTTTCCTAGTTTTCCTATGGCTCTTTCTGTGACCTTTGCTATGGTACAGCAATAAGACTCAGGGTGCTGAAAGGATTCCTTCCTAAGAACAAGTCAATTATATTCTTCAGCCATGCTGTTTAATCTTAAAAATCCATGTCATTGAAGTTCTGGGTCTCTACTGCTGGTAGTGATTGCATTTGATAGGCACAAGGCCATTAGTGACACCTTGCTCTATACAGCTGACATATCAAGTAGGCTGTGCTCCCAAATTTGGTCTGGAGTTTGGCTGATGGAAATGGTAGATGCTTTCATAAATAAAGTATTGACATTCTATGTATGCTTCTGCAGATCTAATGAGATTAATCATTTCTGCATGGTAGCCACCATTATTGGTTCCATTATCTGATTGCTCTTTCAGGACTTTTTCTGTTTACCATCCTGACAGTGATAAAGACCTACTCTGCAGATAGAAGATCTAAGATTTCTTTGCATGCACTTTCCTGTTAAGTGCACTTTCAATTTTCCAGGACACTCTGCTCTTCATGTGTTTCTGGTTGATTCTTCCTAATCTTTAGGTCAAGACAAAATCACCTTCTTGTTTTATAGCATTGGGATTCCCAGGCTGCAACCTGTGATTTGTATCTCTTTGAACAAGGTGTGAAAGGGGTCTTGAAGTAATTTTAAAATAAAACATTTATGTAGATAGTTTTCTCCAAGTCTTACACTGTGTTACATAAAATCCGAACTATTTTGACTGATGTCATCCACAGTGGTCACTGTGTTAGGAAAACAAAATTTAAGTGGTCTTTAAAATACCTCAACATGAAGAGATTTGTCACACTTTGTGACAGGGAGTCACCTAATGAGTGTGGACCAAGGATGATTCCCATTCCCTCAAATGTGGACCAGGGAAGAAAACAATTGTCAGAGCTCTTGGGAAGCACACAATCATCAGTGTCTTCAGTTTCATATTTGGCTAATTATTGAAATTGCTTAGAATGAGCTTGCCTCATCTCTGTAGCAATAATTTTCTATACTTATAGTCAGTAAAATCCCTCAATAAATGACAGTAAAACACGAAAGCCACTAAAGTGTATCATGATGGAACCATTTTCCCCAGTCAAGAATATTTTAAAGATGTTAGCCTGAAGCATTACCTAGGTTTATTGGAATTTTGCAGAACAATTATGTCTTTGAGAACTCTTGGATTGGGTTAGGTTTGAAAAGATACTGGAATTGCCAAGATTATTTGAGTGTACACATTGCTTAAG